CTATTGACTAAACGGGTCCCCGACAACGGCGCCAAAAACTTGATCGCGACTTTCTATGTCTAATACAACTTAACTGCAAGTGCACAGTCTATCGCGTAGTAATAAAAGATATCGATCCCACAAGGACTCGTAATCAAACTAGTGTTCACGGGAGTTACTATGTTTAGCTAGGTAGATAATGTTTAAGGGAATAATTGCTATTACTAAAGGGAACTAAAAACGTTACTTAAAGTATAATTACGCGAACCGATATGCAATAATTATGTTCTTCGGGGATTTGACAAGTTGCCGGTATATAAAATATTTTCAGAATTTATTTAAGAAGAAAATAGTGATCTAAAGACCTTTGTCTCACGATGGTTGTTGACGCTAGTTGCAACTTTAAGGCGGAACGTATGTTGTCGCTATCCCGTTCGAGGTTAAAATCGCTTTTTGGAAATCTCTAAATTCTAATCTATTTTAAAGTGCTTTCGCTGTTATTAAAACAAATGCCTAGTGTTTACTATCTGGTCCTAGCCGCAGTTGTCGCTTGTTGGTTCGTACCTTAATTAATTTCCCACTGTCGTGGCAAAACTACTTTTAAATAAGTTCTCGCTGTCGCGACGAACGTTTATTCAAGAAATAAGTTTAAACACTTAGGCCATAAACAACTTTTGAAAAAGAAAGGTTTTAACCGGTTATTATCAAATCCCGTCTGAATTATTATTACATACCGATTACTCTGGTTTAGCTAGACATGGATTTGGAACAGGTAAAACGTAAATAAAAGCGGAAATTTAGAACATACATACTGCTGGGAAGTAAAGTTACAATTAACGAAATAATAAAAACCTGCAAAGTATCCAATTGGCTTTTGGCCAAATCCCAACGATGTCGGCAGGATTGTGTCTTCAAGCCAATAGAGCGTACAAAGGAAATTTCAGTAACAGAATACAGGAAAAAGAAAGGAGAATAAAAACAAGACTTAAACTAAATTTGCTCTGGAAAATATTTGGGCAGCACTTCGTTATCTCAATGCGGCTCCCCTTCTCAGCTCCCCTCCTTCTCCTTTTATAGAGGTGAAATACTAACGGTTATATCTTGCAGAAGGTAGACTTGGAGTCAGAGAAAATAGGAAGTAATGGTCCATTATTTTGGGACTTGGAACTGGTTTTTGCACGTTTACTGAGGTTCTGCGTTTTTGCCTGCATGACGGTCGTCATGGTGTGTGACGGTCGTCACCCGTGTGACGGTCGTCATGGATGTGTGACAGTCGTCACATCAGCAAAATCCGCATCTGCTGTTTTTCATGTTGTTTTCATCTGGTTTTCGTCCATATTTCATTTGTAATTGCTTCTTTTCTTCATATTGCTTTGTTTGGACATGATCTTCAAATACCTGCAAAATATCAGACAAATAACATGGAAAAACCCGAAATCGGATTGAAACCAGTCAAATATTAGTTGAATTGTACGTCAATATATATATATATATATATATATATATATATATATATATATATATATATATATATATATATATATATATATATATATATATATATATATATATATATATATATATATATATATATATATATATATATATATATATATATATATATATATATATATATATATATATATATATATATATATATATATATACGATTTCGTGTTATCAAGAAGTAATGGCTAATCATAGGTAGGTCAGAAAGTTTAATGAGGGTAGTTGGAAGGTTTAAGGATTCATGGATCTATTAAATAGAAACAGAAAAAAAAAATAGTTTTTCAGTAGGTGCAATCGATTGCTCCACCAAACAGAAATGAAGTTTGGCAAAAGCTACAGAGTGCAATCGATTGCTGCAGGGGTGCAATCGATTGCTTGCTTTAAAAATTAAAAGAAATTGTAAAACTTACAATGAGCAATCGATTGTTGCAGGGGTGCAATCGATTGCTTGCAGTGAAATTTTGAGAAAACACAGCAGATGAAGTTCTTTTATGTTTCCACGTCAGTCTCATCCAATATTCCAAATTCCCTTCGTATTTTGTAGAAAGATTCCTTTGCCAAAGGTTTTGTGAAGATATCGGCAAGCTGATTATGAGTATCTACGAAAGTTATCTCGACATCTCCTTGAAGTACATGATCTTGTAGAAAGTGATGTCGTATGTCAATGTGCTTGGTCCTTGAGTGCATGACTGGATTTTTCATTATGTTGATTGCACTAGTGTTGTCACAGCGAAGAGGAATGCTGCCCAGGTCGAGTCCGTAGTCACGAAGTTGTTGCTTAAGCCAAAGTATCTGCGCGCAGCAACTTCCTGCTGCTATGTACTCAGCTTTAGCCGTACTAAGTGTTACACATGCTTGTTTCTTGCATGCCCATGAGACTAGTACATTTCCCAAGATGTGACAAGTTCCACTTGTGCTTTTTCTATCAGTTTTACAGCCTGCATAATCCGCGTCAGAATATCCAATTAAATTACATATACTACCTTTAGGATACCATAAGCCGACATTTGTTGTTCCTTTGAGATACTTCATGATCCGCTTGACTGCCATCAGGTGAGACTCCTTTGGATTTGCTTGAAAGCGAGCGCAAAGACAGACGCTAAACATAATGTCAGGGCGGCTTGCTGTCAAGTATAGTAGGGAACCAATCATACCTCTATATTTTGTGATATCAACCAATATACTGGATTCATCCTGATCTACATATGTACCAGATCCCATAGGTGTAGATAAAGTCTTGCAATTGTCCATATCAAACTTCTTCAATAATTCTTTGCAATACTTCGATTGATTGATAAAGATCTCATTCTCAAGTTGCTTGATCTGAAGTCCAAGAAAGTAGTTCATTTTCTCCATCATAGACATTTCGAATTCTCCTTGCATCATGGATGAGAATTCTTCGCATAGCTTGGTTTTGGTTGAACCGAAGATTATGTCGTCAATGTACACTTGTACCAAGTGCATCAGAGATCTTCTAGTGGAAGTCTATAATTTATATTTCCCTTTTAGGGCGACAAAGATATTTCTATGGAAGTTCAACATTTATGTATTACCTTTTTAGGATGACAATGATCTTCCTCTAGAGTCCAACATTCATGTCTATTGTAGAACGAAATAACCTGCTGTAAATATCAATGGCGTTTTCCTTTAAAGAGATTCATACAATAGCAGGCAAACCGCCTTATTTAAATACACAATTGAAAAAAATTAACTATTATAATATCTTAGGTTAATTGAATTCTAAGTTCTAGGAACGAGTCATACAACCATCTCATCAAGTTTGTTGCCTCTGTGATGTATTTTCTAATATATGTGACACGGTCCTTCCTAGTTAGGTTGTAGTTTCCTCTATCGAACAGACACAACAACTTATCTTAAACTAGGTCACGTTCTTCCATTTCTCTTTGAACTACCTTCGAGTTATACTTGTGATCGCTCTTTGCTTGTGAATAAATTCTTGGATGTATGAGGCATCTCTTGTTTTGGAAATTAGGCTAGCGACACATCTTAGCCATGAGGTAGTGTCTATTTCTACAAACACAATGATATTCACTTTATATACCATGGTGAAGGGAGTCTCCTCGGTGGTTGACTGAGGGGTGGTATGATATGGCCATAACACCTTGTGAAGTTGTCCAGGCCAGGCTGGAGCCTTTGAAAAGTGTTATGGAATAAGACATATGTTGCACTTCCAAGGTCAATTAACACTCTCTTTATATCTCAGTCATCATATTGCATTGTAATGACCATGAAATCATTTTTGTATGGGAGAACACCAATGTCATCTTTATTTCATAAGGTGATTATGGATTCTCATCTTTTATTAACATTGTTGTTGGGAACTAGCCTTACTTTTTAAAGACATTTCGATAGTTTTTTTTTATCAATTTAAGTATTTTATTCATATCTATTTATATTTGTAAATATTTTATTTTAGTTTGACCAACCTATTAATAGTTATTGGGTATATTTGTTTGAAATTGTTTATGCAAGTTAGCCAAACTATTAAAGCTTTTAAATACAAGAACTTCCAAAACACTAATTTTTTTTCTTATTGTGAGCTATGTATTGGAAATCATCCCACATGATATTTCTCTCCACCAGATGAAGTAATAAACTTGTTAAACAACCAACAAAGACCATGACAATATCAAAACAACAACTCAAATTATGGAGGATATGCAGGACCAGTCTATAGACAAAAACCATACCCAAACCATCCTCCACAAGAAAGTACATCAAGGTTGGAGGATACATTAAATAAGTTTATACATTTGTCTACAAAAAACACCAGAATCCTTCTCAATGGGATAATACATAATGTTAGAAAGTGCATTGAATAAGTTCAAACAATGTACTATGGAAAACTAGAAAAAACATAGACACCACATTAAAAAAAACTTGGGGCCCAAATTGGTCATCTAACTAGGAACATAAACACTGCAAGCAAAAACCTCGAGATGCATGAGAAAACTTGCTAGGGGTAGATTTCTTCATCGTTTATACTCATGCATTAACCATTGGTCAATAATATGCTTCTTTACTCAGCTATTAAATTACTGCCTATTATTAGTGAAACTCCTAGGAAGTTTATTTCTTAGAGAAAGATTAGTGGAACTCCTGTGTGCGCGAGAGCGTGTGTGTGTATATATATATATTCCCTAATTAATGAATTATTATTATTTTTTCAAAATTTAATTTTTATTTTATTTTATAAAATAATATTTTGGCAAAATACCCAAATTGATCCCTTAAGTCTACATCGGGGTCCAATTTGACCCCTTAATTTAAAAAAGTTCCAAAGTGATTCCTTAAGTTTTTAAATGGTGCCATATTGGTCCTTTCCGTCAATAACCCTAAAACGTCTATTAATGTGTGCAGACGTGACTGATGAGTTGGCATTTTGGATCGTCTTCTTCCTTAAGACGTTGATGTTGTTCATTTTAGTCCCAAATTGATTCACAAATTTGACCTAGGGCTAGGGTAAACAAAGTGGAGATATAGATTCAAGCATGAAATCAAGTGGATCTTCGTCATTGTTGAAACAGAATAATGCAGAAGGTGGTTGTTCTTTGAAGGAAGGTTTGAATCGGTATACAAGCTCCGTTTGGAAACCCTTATTTCATTATGGGGACCTGGTCGTTCTTCGAAGGGCAATAACTATTAAGAACTATGGAAAACATTTCAGGGGTTGTCCTAATTATAAGGTATGTTTCATGTAAATTTGATGTTTCTACTTTGAAAACACATATTGTTGCAACTATTTGAATTGTAACCTATGAATTTTACAGGGATCTATGCAAGCTGGGTGTGGTTTCTTTGGTTGGTTTTATGAAGATGTTGGAGATGAGAAGGAGAAGTTTTGGATGGATATAATTGAAAAGCTATCAAAGGCAGTTGCATAAGGAAAAATGGTGAATGAAGAACTTAGGCAACAACTGGTCAATCTTGAAAGGGAAATGAAGAAAATTATGAAGTGGAAAAAACTTTGGAATTTGGTGTTGTTTATGATTATAATTGTAGTAGTCTTTAGAATGAATTAGGGAAATATTTTATTTGTATCAGTTTGTTCAATTTGAAATGAATAGACAAGTATTAGATTTGTATTAGTTGTTTCTATCAGTATGTACCATTTGAAATGAATAGACAAGTATTAATTTTTAGAATTTTTTGTATCAGTTGTTTGCATTGTTTATAACAGTTGTTACAATTTGTTGTTGATGTGTTTTTGCATTGTTCCATAATATGTTCCACAATTCAATTTGTTGTTTCAGCTGTTACAATTTGTTGCATTGTTCCATAATATGTTTCATAATTAAAAATTCCAAAATATGTTCCATAATTCAAAATGTGATAACATTAAAACCATAAGTCATAGCAAAAATACATAGTGATAGCTTGTGACAGATTACATAAGTCATACCCAAAATACATAAGTTCTTATTTGTGACAGATTATACAAGTCATAGTCAAAATACACAAGTCATAGCTTGTGAGAGATAACAGACGTAAACTAACAAAGTGGTAAAGGTTCAAACTTAAACTAACAAAGTGAACATAACAAACTGGCACAGACTTAAACTAAAATTTCCAAGTTGGTGTTGATCTCTTAGTTGGTGTTGATCTCTTAGTAGGTGTTGATCTCCTTGTTGTTGGCCCAACAACAGTCTTGGCTGCACTCAGTCATGTGGTAGGTCCTGGTGGTATAAAAGGCTTAGTTGGCCTTCTGATAGGTAACTTCTTGGCCCTTCCATGAAATGCTGACATAGATGATGGCCCTTCTTAATTGGTTGTTTTTCCGCCCTTCCATCGTATGATTGTTGGGATGCATTACTTGGTCCTTGTCTAACTTGTTGGGATGCATGACTGGCTCCTTACAAAAATTGTGTTAATGGTTGTTGGGATGGCTGCTTTAATGATTTTTGGGATTCATGAGTGACTCTTTGTGAAGCTTGTATTGATGGTTGTTAGGATGGTTGCTGGCTAGATGGTGTCACCTTGCAAGTAAGCTTGTTGTAACCTAGTTTCTTACATATAACATAAGCAAAACAAGTGGAACACAATCATAACAAGTAAGAACATAAGCACAACAAGTAATGAAACTAAGCATAACTGAAACAACATAAGTATACCTTTTGTTGATCAGATATAAAAGTGTATGTGAGACATTTTTCTCTCCCACAAAGGTCATCAATAAGCAGCTCTAAGAACCATGTCCATCTATCCTTATTTTCACTTTCAACTACTGCAAATCCTATTGGTAGCATTTGATCATTTTTATCTCTACCTATGGCTGCCAATATTTGACATCCACATAGCCCTTTCAAAAAACATCCATCAAGGCCAATGAAATGTCTGCATAATTTGAAGCTTTCCTTACAAGATGCGAAGGAAATGTATAGCCTTCTAAAATGGGGTCTTGGATCATTAATACCCTCTTGTTCAGGTTGGACATTTAGTTTCATAGTAGATCCTGGATTTGATCTTAATAACTCATGACAGTAGTCATAAATCCCTGTATAATCCCCTAAGAAAGAACCATCAACCATGTCCATAGCAGCAAATGTAGCTCTTATGGCCTTAGTATGATTAACCCCTACATTCCAATTCTTTTATGCTTTTTCCTTTATGTCCTTAAGCTTCAATATAAGGTTGGTTTTCAATGAATTTTGTAGCCTTTTGCTTAACCATTTGACACTCATCATCTTTACATTGTACTCCCTACTACAACTATGATTGTCTATTATCTTCCTTAGTTGCCAAGAATCCTCCTTAGGTAACTTAGCACAATAAGCTTTCTACCCATATCCATCCTTACACCTAACCCCCATTCTAACCCTGTCATTATTAGTGAACTTCAGGTTCCTGCCAGATTGGACTGCATATGAGGTTATAGCTTCCTTAAAACCAGCTTTGGTAATAAAGTACATTCCAACCTCCTATTTGTAACTGAGCATGTCTTTTTGTAACTTGAACATGTGGTGCTTTTTTCTCCTCACTCCACTACCATCATCACTATCACACCCACTTTGTAAATCCTCAATTTCATTATCACTACCTTTAAACTCATCTTTGTTTTCCTCCTACTTTTCTTTACCTTTTTTTCTGTTCCCCTATTGGTCATCATCTTCATTCACATAATCAATTAAATTATCCCTCTGCTCCTCATCCAAATCATCAACATACTCATCTGATTCATCATTAAGTGCTACCTCCACTGCACTGTCATAGATGAAACTTTCATCCTCACTATCATTAGAGCTAAATACATCATTGACCTCACCACCACTTTGTCCATTATCAACATTTCAATCAGTTTCCATAACATCATTTTCACTAATAGCATTTTTCCTAATAGCATTTTCCCTAACAACATTTTCACTAACAACATTTTCCAAAACAACATGTTCACTAACAACATTTTCCATAACATCATTTTCCCTTGCACCATTCTTACCACTACTATCACCTTCCATCAACTCAGTTTCCTTTAAACCCCCATTAACTACTTCCTCATACACTGCAGCGATGACTTGTTCAGTCTCATCAACAATTTTATTTTGCTCTACAACTATTTCATCAACAAGACCATCATAGTAACCAGGCTATGACAATATGTGTTGAATATAAATGTCAACACTAAGATGCACCCTATAGAGATCAGCAATCTCTAGAGCACCTTTGTCATCAACCAACAAGTTCATCCCAAAGGTTGGATCCCGATAATATATATTTTCAATCGAATTGTACCCTAAATCCTTAAAACAACGTAACAGTTCAAAATAATTCTATCTATCAGCATCTATTTTCAACTCGGCAACCTGACCCCCTTCGTACACACTCATTTCGTCATCAACAAGTTCACCACTGTGGTGGATTTTTAAGTTCAAATACTTAGCCATATCAAACTATGTCCTATGTCCTAAAAAGAAAAGCAGAAAAAAACCAAGATTTCAGATACGAAGATGGAAACTCTAAAACTATAAAAACCCTAAAATGAATAAAATAGAAAAATTTGCACTTTAATCACTAGAAGCCATACCTGGTTGTCTTTGATATCAACTTGAAGAGTAGAGGTTGCTTCAAATCGCACCAGAATCACCTTCAACATGCAACAATGGCTACGCTAGGGTTCCACTTCCTTTACTTTATTTCCTACTTCTAAACAATGCCTTCGTTTCATTTCCCATTTCTTTTTTAGGCATTCAAATTCCACATGGCATGACTATTCACATCAGCCCCACACATGCGTCAATTGTACAAACCCGTTGACTTTGACTAACGGTATTGACGATAAGGACTAACGTGACACCATTTAAAAACTTAAGGGATCACTTTAAAACTCTTTAAAATTAAAGGACCAAATTAGATCCAAGGTAAACTTAAGGGTATGGGTGAGCAAGAGACGGGTCGGGATGGGTTATGACTAACCCTAACCCTGTCCTAAATTTTGATCGGGCTATTTTAATGACCCTAACCCGTACCTAAACCCGTAAAAACCCCGATAATATATAAAATAAAAAACACAGTATCATAGTAAGAAGATGTAAAATAAAAAACATGATGTAAGAGAAGAGATATATACTTAGTATTTACTTAGTGCACATATTAAATAATGAGGTGGAAAGTAGAAAAATCTATTAAAAATTTGGAATAATCTAAATATACCAATAAATTAAATAAATAAATAAATAAATAAATAGTATCACATGTGTATTCATGATATTAGGACGGATTGGATAACCCAACCCCGTCCCACCTATATTGAATTGAGACGGATTTTCGGGTTGGGTTGGGTTCTGTACACCCTTAGGGTCTGTTTGGTTCAAATGAGGGGGAGGGGAGGGGAGGGATTTTAATGAAGGGGAGGGGAGGGGAGGGGAGGTGAAGGAATTTTTTAATCAAATAAGTGTTTGGTTCAAAAGAGAGGAGGGGAGAGATTTTAATTAAAAATGTGTTTGGTTCAGAAGGGGAGGGGAGGGGTTTTATTAATAATTTACATTTTTATCCTTATGATCTTATATAAGTCATATGATATTAAAATGTGAAAAATTCGTGCGTATTTTTGTTGGTAATAAAATTTCTAATATTGAGTGATTAAAAAAATATTTATTTGTCACTAAAGTTAAAAAATTGAGTACAATCGATTCGACTTATAACTTTCCAACATAAATTAAACTATATGCCAATAACATCGTTTAAATTGTGATGAATCATATAACAAAACAAATATATAAAATAACTTATTACTAAATATTAATGGTTCAAAATATTTAATAAAATGAATATGGTTTACAATTTGATATAAAAGAAAATATGATAGAGTACATAACAAAATTAAAAGAAAAAAACGAATATACGAAACATAATTTTTTTTATAAAAAAAAAAGACAATGATTATGATTTATATTAATTATAAAAATTATAAAATAATTTGAAGGTGAAGAACAATTATAATAAATTGATGAAAACAATCGAGAAAAAACAGTAACATAAAAGATAACAAATAGTTTTGAAATAATAAAATTAAACTGAGGATATTTTAGTAAATATAATAATTTTTAAATATCAAAACTAATATTCCCTCCCCTCCCCTCCAAATTCCCCCAATTCGGAGGGAACCAAAAAGTGTGTTTTGGAGGGATTTTGCTCCCCTCCCCTCCCCTACTAAAATTTGAAAATTTAAATAAAAATTTCCCCTCCCCTTCCCTCCATCTACCCCGAACCAAACACACCCTTAAGGGATTAATTTGGATATAATATTTTTAACAAAATTAAAATAAATTAGTGATGACTTATAGGTTCGAATCATAGCTGTCAGGGCAGCAGAATATTCCTTAAGGTTTGAGATAGAGAGAGAAAGCGGCTGCTTAGAAAGTTAGAGAGAGAGAAATAGAGTTGAAGACGGTGCGAGAGTCGCAGTTGAAGTAAAAAAAAAACCATCAACCACAAAGCAAATAACTATTAATTCTTCTTCTTCCATCGATCCGTACGATGCCTTCTCGCAGAAGAACTCTCTTAAAGGTCATCATTCTCGGTGACAGCGGGTTCGTCTCTCTCACTCTTCAATTCTAGGGTTTGCTGATAATAATATTCTACAGATCTCTTCAACTTTTTTTTTCTTCTGCTGAGTTTTATTCTTCCTGTTTTCAAATTGATCTTTGTTTAAACTCAATTACTGATGCACAATCACACAATTGGATTGTAGTTTGTTAATTTTCTTATTATTGTTTGGATCACACGAATTATACTAATGAATTGATGAATTTTCATATTCCTGTTTGGATCGCAAAAATCATATTTAAAGTAATTTGATATATAGAATTGTTTGGTTTGGATGGATACTTGCAACCTTGGTAGTGTAAGGTTGATTTATGATTGAATTATTTGTTGTATCTACCGATTCTTTATTATTATTTTTTTGACATTGTAGTGTTGTTGTTGATTTGCAGTGTGGGGAAGACGTCTTTGATGAACCAGTATCCTTCAATTTTTGCTTAGAACAATCAGATTTCTGTTTTTGTTTTCAATTTTAGATGCAATTTTCTGAGTTTGAAGTACTGTAAAGGGTTATGCTTCAAAAATATGTGGCCTTCGTGTTTTGCTTAACCTATGTATTTTAGATATGTGAATAAGAAGTTTAGTAATCAGTACAAGGCAACCATTGGAGCGGATTTCTTAACCAAAGAAGTGCAATTCGAAGATAGGCTTTTCACCTTACAGGTTTGTGAGTTGTGCTGTCTTAGGCTTGGTTTGTTCTTGAGATGCATGAAAATGATTGCATGATTGACATGTAAATGATAGGCCAGATTTACAAACTATGTAGTGTTTTTCTTTTTGGTATTAGCTTGATGCTCTTATCTTGTGTATTATGCTAGTACTGATTTAACTAAAGAATTCTTAGGTCACAACCTTTTAAATGAGGGTGAATGAACATGTTGATGCTGCATGATGGTGTTATCAGCCTGGAGTGTACATCAAATATGCATAGTAGTTTATACTTTGGATTAAGCGTTTTTGTGCAGTGCAAGTGATTTGGTCATTGAGCGTCTTGATTGTTTAAAAAATGGGACTGTATATGGATTTGTGCAGTGCAAGTGATTTGGTCATTGAGCGTCTTGATTGTTTAAAAAATGGGACTGTATATGGATTTGTGCAGTGCAAGTGGGTGCTAACTACAACTTGCAAACAAGTTGAAGAGGCATGCTCTCCAAAAAAAAAATACAAAAAAACAGGGGCTCTTAACAGAGGTTCTTTGCTGTGCTAAGTGCAACATGCAAGCAAAATGTAGACCCCTATTCTTGCTCAAAGTAGGGGTGGGAATAGGTCTGGCCGAGTGACTACGGTTTAGCATACCTCTAGCTCAGGCCAGACCAAACTTTTTTCGAAATAGAGAAAACTTAGATTTTTTTGCAAGTCTATTTAGCTAAAGTAGCTTGGTCAAACCATAAAGAAAACCTTTTAAGCCTATTATACTATTGTTATAATATTAAGAAAGATTTTGAGATTAACGAATTGGATAGAAACGTGGCCTTGGCTAAAACGTTATGGTAGAATTTGATCCATGTAGCCGACCCACTTAGTGAGAAAAGGCCTTGGTTAAAACATTATGGTAGAATTTGATCCATGTAGCCGACCCCACTTAGTGAGAAAAGGCTTGGTTGTTGTAGTTGAATTATATTATAAACTTATTAACTTTTTTCAGGAATTTAAGTTTCTTAACCGACATTAATATATATATTTTTTGCATATTTAAATATAATATTATAAATAAAAATTGAAATATGATATTTTATATAGTCATATTTTATAAAATGTCAAGTTAAATGCCAAAATAAATTTAGCTATATTGGAGAACTTCTGAAAATAAGCTAAAATCAGCTTATGAACAATGATATAAGTTGTTTTTTATGTTCTTCAAAACAAATAGTTTCACAAGACTTATGCCATTAGGCAAGTTTAAACAAGTCAATCAAACAAACCTTTAGTCTCATTCGACTCTTAACTTGTTAGTCTATTTAAGCATAAACCGAATTACTTATTTAAATACATTAAAATAAAATAGACTTTTAAATAGGCTGACAGGTCAACCAGGCTATAGGCCAGACCTAGGACTTATCTTTTTGACTTGACTTAGACTTAAGAAAGTCTAACTCGGTCCTGCCTATTCGCACCTATAGCTCCATGCACCGTTATTAATCCAACCCGAGGCTTGTTCTGGAAAAACAGAGCATGTGGCTTTGGCTGGAAAAAGTGATGGCAAGGAAGCTGTTACCTCTCATTCGTGCGCCCTAGTCTGCGTCTCCTCAAGTTTCGATGTATCGGAGTTTCCTCAAGTTTCAGCATGTCATAGCGTATTTGCTATTTATCTGTATTTTTTTGTTTTCAAACAAATGCATCCATATACCTTTTGGATATACATTATTTAGGTATTTCAACCATTCCGAAACGGCTACAGCGATGAAATGGACCGTGCATCAAAGATAATAACTATGTTTAGGGTTACAGCTAAGAGCCTTTTTTGGTTAAGGATTGTTAGGCTATTAGGTTTTTTGGATAGTGCACCACGCTCTTTAAGTATTAGACTTCTATGTTGTGTTTATTGGGGAAATCATGTTTGTGCTTGTTCTTAATCTCATAATGATTTTCCTGTTTAATTAAAATTCAAGTTGAGTGGTTGAAATGGAGGAGACCCTCAGAGGTTTTATGTGACACGAAAGTACCACTTAAGACTAGCGATGTTAAACGAAACAGAATGTTGGACGGTATAGAACCAACGCGAAAATAAAACAAGTGTAGTAGCGATGAGTATGTTGCGCTGGACGTGTGATAAGACTAGACGTGATAAAATTAGAAATGATAATATTAGAGTGTTGGGGTAACAACTGTAGTAGGAAAGATTGTGTAAAATAGGTCGAGGTGGTTCGAGGTGCAGAGAGAAGACCTGTGGATTCCGTAGTAAGGAGGGTAGATTAGATGGAAGGTAATAAAAAATTAGAAGTAGAGGAAGATCTAGAAAAATTATATGAGAGACTATTTAAAAAGATCTTGAGATTAACAAGTTGGATAGAAATATAGTTTTTGATAGAACATTATGACATAGATTGATCCATGTAACCGACCCTATTTAGTGAGATAAGGTTTGATTGTTGCTGCAATTAGAAGTTTTAAGTTAAAATAGAAGAAGTTTTCTTTCCTTTTCTTTTAAGTTTTAACACTCTCAACCTTGCAGATTTGGGATACAGCTGGCCAGGAGAGATTCCAAAGCCTAGGAGTTGCTTTCTATCGTGGTGCTGATTGCTGTGTTCTTGTATATGATGTTAATTCTGTGAAGTCATTTGAAAACCTTAATAATTGGAGGGAAGAGTTTCTCATTCAAGTATGCACATGCTTCTCTGATAAAATTCTCCGTTTTATCTAGAATTTCATACAATGAAGAATTTCTTAACTTCTGAGCTTTGTGATCATTTTCATCAGGCAAATCCTTCCGATCCAGAGAATTTTCCCTTTGTCGTTATAGGAAACAAGATAGATATTGATGGTGGAAACAGTAGAGTGGTATGTTTTTCCCTGCCTATTGCTATCTTCCATGTCTCTTAACTTTTTCAAAAGCTTCCATGCATCCAATAAAATTCTTGAAACACCTGAACATGTACTGCTAAACGGATTAACACACATAAGTTCTTGTGCGCAGGTTTCTGAAAAGAAGGCTCGGGCATGGTGTGCAGCAAAAGGAAATATCCCATATTTTGAGACATCTGCTAAAGAAGGTATTAATGTTGAAGAAGCATTCCAAACCATAGCAAAGGATGCCCTGAAAAGTGGGGAAGAGGAAGAATTGTAAGTTCTTTAGCATGTGCATCTCTTCTTTAATATATCTGAACACACTTCAATTGCAGTATTATTTGACACATACCCATAGATTATGAATCTTTCAGTTTATTTGATAATTGAATAATTATATTACTCCAATGTTATTGATTTATTTTGTTTTGAAATTTGCTCTCCATGTGAAAAATCGTGTTTGTTGAAGATACCTGCCAGACACAATTGATGTTGGAAACAGCAATCAGCCAAGGTCAACAGGATGTGAGTGCTGAACATATAGATTTTGTTCTCAATACGAAGTAAAATATATTATTTAAAAATCATTTTGGCATGTCTAGCCATTGCTGTCTATGAGGTTTAATTGTATGTTTGATCAAGTGCGATCTGTTGGGTGCTTGTTTGACTTTGTTAATCGATCATGTTCTTCTCCTTGTATGCTATTCCAACATTGTGAAAAAAAAAAACAGCAAAGGATCATTCTGAAGTTATTTCATTAGTTATTTTTCTTTCCCATACAAAATATTTGTAATCAATGGTGAATGGTGATTGTGGTAATGCATTGAGTTATAAAATCTGTTTAGAACAGTTCAAGAGTTACTACTCAGTAATGTTTTATTGGGATATAGCTGATATTGATCTGGTTGAAAAGATGCTCAAGGGAAGATTGTGATTTTCATGGAATGAATAGAAAATAAATAAAAGGTGTCATGTCAGTCAAGCCTTCGACGAGGATGACTCGATTGCCGTGGAAATCTAGGGGATGAATTGGCTAACTTTACTCTGATGGTGCCTTTGTAATTTTAGGCTAATCAATGGATAAATGGATCGTTAGAAGTATTATTTATGGAGAAAGAAAGATTGATTTAGAGAGAAAAATATCAAAGGTACTAGTAATATTCAAAGTTAGCCAATCCCTTCCCGGAAATCTAGGGATGGTTATATAATGTGTCGGTTAGGGATGGCAATAAAATCCATTTAGATATTATCCATCTAATCCATCCAATAATTTATCCATCCAATCCATCCATAAGACAAAAAATAATTTAATGGATTTGATCCAATCCATCCATTAACTCATATGGATGGATTCAATCCATCCATCTCATTTTATAAATCCATTGGATCTTATATTATTAGTTAATGGATCTTATAAATCCATTGGATTTTATAAATTTCAATGAGATATATTTTAATTAAATAAACTATTTTTATAAAAAAATATTAAACATTTCAATTAAATATTCTTTTTTATTTTAAACACAAAAAAATAAAAACATTTAATTTTTTCTTCATCTTCTCAAACTTTAGGTAGAAACCTCTTCTTCAAATTACTCTATAAAATTTCTTCCCCAAATTATAAACTAAGAACCCTAATTTCTTCCCCAATTTTTTTCTTCTTCAAATTTCTGTTTACACCAAGAACCCTAATTTCGTCCCCAAATTTCTTCTCCAAATTTCTTCTTCTCTCAATTTCGTTTTAATATCAAGCACTAGTAATTCATCTCAACGTTTCGGTGCTTCAATCGCCATTCATCTCAACAATTGGGTGCTACAATTGATCTCTCTTTGAAGCAAGCAAGGTAAACAATATCATTCATTCCTTTCTCAAAAAATCAACTTGTTTTCATAAATATAATTTGCAAATGATGTTTCGGTTCTGTTGCAAAAATGGGTTTCCAAGTCTGTACGAACTTGCCATGTAAAATTGCTTCTCATCATCATTATCATGCCCACCCACCAAAGTGGTTCATACAGGTATGGTGAGTTGTATTCATGGCTGCTATCAGAGTTTGTGGAGAGGTTGAACCATCTAGATTCCCATCAGACCCTGTTAAATCCCATGTTTTAGCTGTTGCTTTGATATAGGACAATTTTGTGTCTCTGTCAAACAATTTTAGCTGTTGCTTTGATATAGGACAATTTTAGCTGTTGCTTTGATATAGGACAATTTTGAATTATGATATTTTAACTGAATGAAAATGAAGTGGTAAGAGTACAAGAAAGTGCAAGGTAACCTATCAAAGATAAGAGCAATAGGGATAGTGAAAAGTGATGCACAAATGAGACGATATGCTGCGGCTACTCTCATGCTCATTCCATCATTTATTGCAAGCTTGTATATTATATTGACAGCAGCAATTGCAATCTGCACTAACACCATTAAAATCTCCGGTTTCAGACCCTGCCATATACTAGTTATGTTCTTCATCTTCAGTATTAATACTGTGCTATAGTTGCAAGTTGGTGTGGGAAATGTTTGCAAACATTGGGCTGCTGCTATTGCTGAAGATGTGATGCTTAGAAATGGGATTATGCTTTCTGATCTTCAATTTTCTCTACCATTTTTTCTTTGTATTCCATCCCTTTTGTTGTGCTTAATTAAGTGTAGTACATAAAGAGCTTTAACCTATTTGCGGGGTGTTATTTTTGAGTTCAAGCTCTGTTCTGGAAACTTTACAAGTATTATCTTGGAATGAGGATTAGATCATGTTAGATAGATTTTCCAATGGTATAAAATTTATGATATTATGTACTGTATTTTGATTCCACTGCAATCTTTTTTTTTTTATCTTCTTTTTGATGAATTATCAAAGTTTGACCATATATAAAACTTCCATGTTAAAAGAGACATGGTTGAAAAGAAACAGAAAGTTATCTTCTATATGAATTTAGAAAGCACATATATATTGCGGTCCACACAAATGTTGGACACTGTCCAGCTTAATTTAATGACTTTTCTTTGGCATATGTTTGGCTACTTGAGCTAAGCCAAAAGAGTCATTGAGTTGCTAATATGTCCTAGTCCGGTTGAGACATCGCCTTGATGATGAAGTTGAAATTAAGTGCTTGTACAACAATGGAATCATAGGGATTCAACAACATCAATAAAAATCTAAATTTAGCCTAAAACAAGAAATGTAGCTAAATTGGTATAAACACTGTTGTATACACTTTCAGGATGGAAATTCTAAATTTGAAACAACATAGTAGTCTAGCAAAAGTTATTGGTACCATGGTCTGCATTGGAGGGGCATTAACTATAACACTATATAAAGGGATGCCATTGATTAGCGATGTCTTTCCAAATATAGAAATAGGAGAAAGTGGAATTAACATCTCAGGAAAATCAGATTGGATAGTTGGAGCTTTTCTTCTTGCAACTGGTTGCTTTTTCCTTTCTGTTATATATATTGTCCAGGTAAATAAACTATTAATTAATATGCACACATACATGATTTAAAAACTGATTGTGAAATTTTTTTTCCATCATATGCAGTATTGGATTATCAAGGATTATCAAGAAGAGTTGTTGGTAACAACTATTTGTTGCAGTTTTACGGTAATTCTATCTATTGTTGCAGCTCTAATTGTAGAGGGAAATTCAAAAGCTTGGATACTCAGACCTGATAAGAAATTGGTATCTATTTGTTAAACATAACTAATATATTACTTGTTATTAGTTACTTGACACAATTTCTCTCTTTTTGACATGTAATGTCATTAATCTATATGAAATAAAGCTAGTTGATGCATAATAAATAATTGAAGTGTTTTTATGGTTTCAAGTCTTAATGTTATTAGTGGCTTTTAATTGGATAATTCAGTTTGTATTTCCTTTGTACTCACCTTCAATTATTGTCAAATTATAGGAAATATGTCTACCGATGGCGATGAACCCGTAATTCAAATTCAGGATGAAGTTGATGAAAGTTCAGTCCTTAGTTTAAAAAGAACAAAAACTTCTACGGCTTGGGAATTTTTTGAAAAGTTTGTGGACGATAAAGGACTCCCAAAGGCCAAATGCAAAAGTTGTAATAAAATTTATATGGCTAGAGAGGGTGGTGGAACTTCAAATTTGATAAAACATGCAGTGAAATGTGTTGGAAGAGGGAATGGATCTTCTTATCCGCCACTGGATCAAGAAAAGTATAGGGAAAAGATTTCTAAGGTAATTGTCAAACACAATTATCCTTTTACTTTTGTTGAACATGAAGGGATAATTGACTTACTTTGTTTCTTACACCCCGATGTTAAGTCAATTACTAGAAATACTGCAAAGTCTGATGTTCTGAAGGTGTTTAGAAAAGAAAAGGAAAACTTAAAATCCTATTTGCAGTCGATTCCAGGAAAAATTTGTTTAACATCCGATCTATGGTCTGCAATAAATACAGATCAATATATGGTTTTGACTGCACATTTTGTTAATAGGAATTGGGAATTAGAGAAAAAAGTTGTATCCTTCACTCATTGTCCACCACCTCATACCGGTTTTAATTTGGCTGAGAAGTTAATAAATTTGCTAAAGGAGTGGGGTATTGAGAAAAAAATATTCACGATTACTTTAGACAACGCATCTAACAATGATGTTATGGTGAATATATTGAAGAAACATTTATTATCAGGATTAGGATTGATAGCTGACGGTACTTATTTTCATGTTAGATGTGGAGCACACATCTTAAACTTAATTGTTCATGATGGTTTAAAGGTGATAGATGGATCTTTGGATAAAATTAGGTTGTGTGTGAAATATGTAAGAGGCTCAGAAGCTCGAAAGATAAAATTTGCATCTTGTTTAGAGCAACTTTCAAATGTGACTTCTAAGCAAGTTCGTCAAGACTTACCTACTAGATGGAATTCCACTTATCTGATGCTTGAGACTGCTATAGGTCAACGAGAAGCCTTTACCCTCCTAAGCGATATTGATCCCTATTTTGATTGTTGCTTATCAAACGAGGAATGGGATGAGGTAAAAATCATAGCTGATTTTTTGAAGCCATTTTATGATATCACTGTGTTATTTTCAGGTAGCACTTATCCAACCGCCAACCTCTATTTTAGTGGTGTGTGGCGAATTCATATGAAAATCAAGGAAGTTGCATGTGTTGATCATAGTGAGTTTGAGAAACAAAATCAATTATGTTGCATGGCTAGAAGAATGAAGAAAAAATTTAATAAATATTGGAATTCTTATAGTGTTGTGCTATCATTTGCTGTCATCTTAGATCCTAGATATAAGTTGCAGTTTGTTGAGTGGTGTTATGTGAGGTTGTTAGGTGGTGAGGGAGTACAAGTTGCAAAGGTGATTTTTGATAAGTTGAAAGCTTTTTTTCAAGAATATCTCAAGTCCTCAAATGATGAAAGCACTTCATCTTCACAAAGGTCAATTAGAGGTAGTCCAAACATTCCCTCAAATGACTTGCAGGATTTTGGGAGTTACGAAAGTAAATTGTGTGGACCATCAAAAGATGAGTCTGATTTGGAAATTTATTTGAATGAAAAAAAAATTGATCATGAGCAATATGCTGATTTGGATGTTTTGCAATATTGGAAAGCAAATGAGGGTAAATATCCTAAACTTTCTATATTGGCACGTGATCTTTTGAGCATTCCAATTACTACAGTTGCATCAGAATCAGCATTTAGTATAGGTGGACGTATACTTGATAAGTATCGAAGCGCTCTTTTACCCGAAAATGTTGAAGCATTGTTGTGTACACATGATTGGCTTTGTGGAACTCCAGGTTAGTATCTCAATATTTCCATTTGTATTCTTTTCATTTATATTCTTTTTTAATTAATGTATGTTTAATTGTTTTCTACTTTGATTCTCTTTTATAGCTGCATTTGATTTTGATGGACCCGATTTTGTTGAGGACCTTTCAACCTTCTTTTCCACAACATGAGGTTACTTGTTTGAGAGTTAAATTTGGTGGGTGGGCATGATAACAATGATTGTTGGAGAGATTGTTAATTTTGCAGCATATATTAGTCACTCTTCTTGGTGCTCTTAGCATTATTATTAGTGCTGCTCTAGCACCCAATTATTAAATTTGATTTCATTTTCTATAGACTTTATTAACACTAATTCATTAAGATTGTTAAATTTGTGTTAAACAAAAATTATATATATATATATATATATATATATATATATATATATATATATATATATATATATATATATATATATATATATATATATATATATATATATATATATATATATATATATATATATATATATATATATATATATATATATATATATATATATATATATATATATATATATATATATATATATATATATATATATATATATATATATATATATATATATATATATATATATATCCTTAATTATTTTTAGGATGACTTCACTAATTTCTTAAATAGTTAAGAAGAATTCAAAAAATAATTAAGAATGATTACTTAAGATTTATATATATTATAAAAATAATAAAGTCTTACTGAAAATAATTAAGAATAATTATTTAAAAGATTTGCTTTTTATATATATATATATATATATATATATATATATATATATATATATATATATATATATATATATATATATATATATATATATATATATATATATATATATATATATATATATATATATATATATATATATATATATATATATATATATATTCTTAATTGGAATGTGAAGAGAGAATAATTTTTTTTACAATTAAGAATATTTAAAAAAATGATTAAGAATATTAATTTTTTTAAAGAAATTTAAAAAATAATTGAGAATATTAATTGTTTTTATGAAATTTAAAAAATAATTCAGAATATGAATTTTTTTGTAAAATTTAATTTTTTTTTATGAAATTTAAAAAATAATTAAGAATATTAATTTTTTTTTGTAAAATTTAAGTCTTTTTTTATGAAATTTAAAAAATAATTCAAAATATTTAAATTATGTTTCTATGAAATTTAAAAAATAATTAAGAATTTTTAAATTAATTTTTTGGATGGATGGATATCCATCCATTAGAAATATGTTAATGGATGGATTGGATGGATTTTATCTCTTAATGGATGGATTGGATTGGATTTTTTTTAAGAGAGTTAGTGGATTGTTAATGGATTAATGGATTGCTTTGATCCATCCATTAACAATCCAATCCATATCCATCCAATCCATCCATTTTGCCACCCCTAGTGTCGGTGGGTCCATTTTATCTTCATCATGATAGTAAAAGGTTAAGTGCATGGATTGATTTCTACACGTTTCAAAAGCATTTTTATTTTACGAAAATTGATTTTAAAATCAATTCCATTCTTTCAAAAGTAATTCTCTGAGTAGCTACCATTTTTTAACTTTTGAGTTTAGTAGAATCAATTTTACATTTATTTATTATATTTTATTTTGTTACAATTCTTTTTAATTTACCTTTGATATTTATCAATTACTCTTTCTTTTTTGATTGGTATTTCAATTTATTACCATTTTGGTAATTAAATATTTAAAATTAATTTTGATAAATACTATACGGACAATATTAATTAATAATAATCAATTTTATATTATTGTTTCAAACATAAATCAATTTTATCAAATTCAATTTGGTTAGAATCAATTTTATCAATCTCAATTCTCTTAAAATTAATTTGATCCACCATTAATCCAAACACACTAAAATGAAGTTTCATTTCTCAACTAGCATTACTTTTTAAAGATTAGGCTTAGTCAAGTTTTCACAAATTTTGCTTTAATAAAGCCGTCAAAACTGTCTAGTCTATATGGGCCAGTTGGTCTGGGATAAAACATAAGGTTTGGATCTTACGATTGAAATTTAAATTTTGTATGGATGAAATGCTCTTTTCACATTTAGAGGTGCGACACCGCTGAAATTTAAAAATGTCTTTTATATGTTAGGAGATGTATTTTCATACACACCAAAATTCATACTAGTCTTTGCCTTTTTGAGAACCACTTTATTTTGAATAGAATATGGTCTGGAGATACATCTCCATACTTTGTTTAGGGTGTACTCAAAGTTATATTTCTGTAAAATTCTATGTGCTCATTTATGGTATTTTTATTCACTGAGATGGTTTAATTAACAACTCAATGATGTTTTGTGATATGCACATCCGAAAATGTCAAGCGAGAAATTGGATAAACCACAACGTTGCATGATATTCTTCTTCATGCTGAAACAACTTCATTTCAAAATCCTTAAAAAATTCTTTCATTTTCAATCAACTTTCCAACACCAAAATATCATTTTTATATTTTTATCACATTAGAGGGAGCAAAAGAAGCTAGAATTGCAAGTATAGTTCATTCATTTTATCCCCCATCATTTGAACTAATGTGTTTTCTGGACTGAAAAAATAAACGTTGAATCTGAATATGCGTCTCTAGACAAAGTTAGGTGTTACGAAGATGCATCTTCAGATATGCCTAATATTTTAAATTTTTAATCTATTTGTTTATTCTTGGTTGTATTATATATGGTGCATCTGGATATGATTCCCAAAGCTATTGTGAGGATGGATGTTAAATTGAGTGAAGTGAGTGACGATGTTAAAGTGGGTGCTCGACCAGTTGTTGTCGATGTCGATGTTCATGCATAATTTAAAAAAAATAAGAGTTTATTGTTCGTGAATATATGCTACAATGGG